CCCCAAAACCCCAAAACCCCAAAACCCCAGCTCTAGCGAGAGCCATTGAGAATAATTAATAGGTGTAAATATGGAACAACCGATTGCACAATCTTTGGATCAAAAGGTAAAATCACACCCTGAAATTGATGAAGGAAATGATGGTCCTTCGAATAGAGAAGAAAACAAGATGGACGACCTTTCTGAAGACCAAAATATCAATCTTGTCAGTCCTGAGGAAATCAAAACCAAGCTGAAGATCATTTCAATTTGTACCGAAGAGTTCATCGAATTTTCGAAGAAGACTCATAAAGGCAAGATCCCTAGAGATCACTTTGCCCTATACAAGGAGACGAGAGCCAGAGCTGGGAAGATTCAGTCTGACCTGGAGAAAGACCCTCAAGACCAGGATAACCTTGAACTTTCTCGCTCTTTGCTTGAAGCTGACCGTATCTTGGCTTCGCTTAAAAATAATAAATTTTATAAAGACTTTGAAGCTGACAAAGTTTTAAAGGATGAGAAGTTTAACAAGAGGATTCACAATAAAGATACCACTTTGGACACCATCAAAGAAGATGTGGAATCTTTAGGTCATGACAAATGAGTTTAAGGAACTACAGGAGGAGAAAGCCAAGTCAGAAGAGGAGCATCAACTCGAAGTAGCTCTTCTTAAGTCTCAACTAAAACAAGAGCAAGACAAATATAAGGATCTCAAAGAAGCTTATGATAAATTATGCAATGAGCAAAATCAAACATCTGAAGATCTTCAAGGGCAAGAGAAAGATACACCTGCTCCTAAAGAAGAGACTAAGGAAGATACAGCGAATGAAGATATCAAAGAAGAAATTATAAACAGTCTCGTAAAAGAACAGGAATTAGAAGAACCTGGAGAAAATGATCAACAACAGGATTGAAGATTAGATGCATTTAGCCAAGACGCCATGGAGTCTAACCAGAATTTAGACAAAGACCAAGATCACAGCCAATCTGAATCAAAAGCTGAAGTCCAACAAGAAAGCTCGGCTACTAAAGCACCAGCTTCAGGAGATACTTCTGCTTTAGAGAAGACTCAGATGGAGGAGGACAAGAATCCTGAAGCTCCTGAAGAAGAAAAGGCAAGTCTGGAAGAAGAGAAGAAAACTGAAGAAGATTCGGAAGAAGTCTACTTAGTATATATAGAAATAACTTTCCCCAATGGAGACTCCTACAAAGGACAAGTCAACGCTCACACTGGGGAGCAACATGGCCAAGGGACTTATCTGTGGAAGAGTGGGGACAAGTACATTGGACAGTGGAAAAATGGGAAACCAGAAGGTCAAGGGATTATGTATTATGATGATGGAGATATGTATGAAGGAGAGTGGGTAAATGGGAAGTTCCATGGTACTGGATTATACAAGTGGAAGGACGGAGCAACTTACCAAGGAGAATGCGCAAATAATAGTATGAATGGACAAGGAGTCTACAAAGAACCAGATGGGTACTCCTATGAAGGAGAGTGGGAAGATGACAAGAGACATGGACAGGGTGTTGCATGTTATTCCAGTGGAGCTAAGTATGTTGGTCAATTTCAGAATGATTTAAAGCATGGAGAGGGAGTACTCACTTTTAAGGATGGAAGGATTCATCAAGGCCACTGGGAAAATGATAAGCCAAATGGTTATGGAGTCTTTATTGATCCGAACACTGGGGAGAGATGTGAAGGACAATGGAAGGAGGGGAAAAAGCATGGAGAGTTCACTGTTATACTTAAAGATGGAGAAAGAGTAACTGAATATTATGATAATAACAAGAAGGTGTAGATCTTAAGGATCTTGACATGAAAGTTGATATCTTTTTAGTTTAAAGGATATTTTAGCTAATTGTTGCTCTTCAATGCTGTCAGCTTCTTCTGGGGTTTTGGGGTTTTGGGGTTTTGGGG